TCTTGAATTATGGGAATTTAAACAGGATTAATTTTGGTGAAATCGAAAACCCTAGAGTCTTAATCTATTGAATTTTATTCCATTATTAGCTTTGTTTGATTTATTTAATCATTTTAATTTTACTTTACTTAATTTTATATGCTCTCTTTTTTATTATTCAAATAAAATTAGGGTTAATATAATTTCGGTAATTAGTAAACAACAATCCTCGTGGGATGATATTCTTATTCACTATTATATTACTTGATTACGATAGTGTATACTTGCGTTATGATTTTTCACAACAATAATGGCAATGGGTACAAAAGGGCCCCTCTTTCTTCTGACCTTTTGAGTTGTCTCCTTTTGACAGCAGCAAATGCCATTCCATTAGCTGAATCTGTGCCTAGATTTTGTTGACCAATTACTCTCTAACGTTCCTCTTGAGCAATCATGGAGAAAACCTTATTGATGGGATGAAGAGGATCCAGTAAAAGTAACCGACCTTTGACTTGTGGAAAGGAATCATTGAGTCCCACGAGAAATGACATGATGTACTCCATTTGATAGTAGGAACTAAGTTCCTTAACGCCACCGCAAGTGCATTTTCCACAAGTACAAGCCGGTTAAAAATTGCTCAGTTCTTCCCACAGAGCCTTCAGTTTTGTAGAATACACACTGACAAAGTTCTGTTCTTAAATATGATTCACTAATTCTCAACGCAATTGAAAGATCCTAGGGTCATTACTTTGTTGGAATCGATCTTTAAAATCAAACCAGATCTCAAAAGCAAATTCAGCAAACAAGCTTCTAGCAGAAATCTCTTTAGAGACAGAATTCAGAATCCACGAAATCACCATATTGTTGTTCCGAATCCACGAACTAAGGAGATTCAGATCAGTACCTTCTGGTTTGGTGATGGATCCATCGATAAATCCCAGTTTGTTCTTGACAGATAGGGCAATCATCATCGCTCTGCTCCAGGAGGCATAGTTATCTCCTGTCTACAATTGCGAGACAAGCACAAGACCAGGACTATCTGAATGATGAAGGTAGTAAGGACTCAGAGGATCATCAATGGCGAATCTTTTGATTGAAACTCCGGGGTTCTCAGATTGAAAAGTCGCCATAGAAATCGAAGAAAGACCAAAAATTGCAGATTCACCCGATCAGAAATAGAATCGAAGACTCGAACTGAATCAAGAAGCAGATTGAATGAATCGAAGAATTTCACGAGGAGCGGAAGCGAATGAGATGCAAAGATTGGTGAAGAAGACGAACAGTCTAGCTTCGCTCTGATACCATATTGTGAGGACAATGAAATCGTGGAGAAAAATGAAAATCTCATTCAACTCTGAATCATTAGTGATTACAAGTATATATATAACCATGAAACAGGCTAATATGAAAGAATAAGTTATAACAAAAATAATAACTCTCACTCTAAAACTAACTCTAAAAATTAGCGAACAAGATCGAAAAATAAAGAGGAGGAAAGAAAGCAAAAATGAAGTGAAAAATAGATCACAAAACTCAATTTCACCACCGAATTCATACCAAAAGAAAAAGAAATTAATATATGGATTAATTAAGACAATTGAGATTTATTAGTGTGCCTAATCTCGTTTAATTAATTAATTTTGTTCATTAAATGTTTCTAATATGTAAGTTTAAATATTTTCAAGGATTCTAAACATTTTTAGTATTTATATTCTCATCTTAGAAGTGTGTGAAGACACATTTTCTGATCTACTTTCTTAAATATCTTTAGGGCACGTTCATTTCACCGATTTGAGTTTAGAATTCGAGTTTTGCTATACAGTAAAAAGCTCTCAGAAACAGTCACATCTAACTTTTTTGTTACAATAAAAAGCTCTCACATAAAGTCACATCTCAACTCAAATTAAAAATTCAAATCAACAAACTAAACAGGCTCTTAATGTTTATCATTTTTCTTTTCTTTTTTTTTCTTCTTTTGCCTCTTCCTCCCGTAACTCTCTCTCTCTCTCTCTCTCTCTCTCTTAAAAATTTGTCACAATCTTCCAAGATCTTGCACCAAAGAGGAACTTCAAGAAGTTCTCTAACATTAAGAGAATGATTTGGGGTAAGATTTAAAAACTTCTCTTGAAATCTTGAATTTTCCTTTGATAGAACTTATTTTCAGTTTGAGTTGGAATTTGATGGATTTTGGTTGAAATCATGATGGAAATTGGGGATTTTTGGCTCTTTGGACTTGATTTATTTTTATTTTGTGATGTTTGTGTATTGTTGCTTCTGAAACAACATATATTTATGCATACTGACATTATGGTAATGCTTGTTTCATCAAGAATCAACATTCTGTTTATACTATAATATTGATGTTAATAATTGTCATGATCATGCAATTTGAATAAATCAATCCAAGTAGTTTGTTAGTCACCAAAGTGGCCAAACCTTAAAGTTTTATGATTACCAAATTGTATAATATTATTATTTGATTTGATGTCTATGTTATGAATAATTTGTTTGTCACCAAAGTGGCCAAATTAGAAAATTTCCGTAGATCATGTCAAATTAAATAAAATTCAATTACCCATGATTATGTGATGCTTATGAATGAGATGACATGATGGTAATATTTTTATGTAATGGGTATGTGAAGTTCATAGATTATAAAATATTTAAGGATGGCCCAAAGGTTGATTAGTCATTTTATGATCATGAACATTAAAGTGGTTAATTGATATACTTGGTTAGATTTGTTTAGCATATCCAAAGATAGCAAGCGTATCTAAGTGGAGTATATTTAATTGCCACTTACGTGAAATTAAAAATTAAGCATCAATTATGTTATTTTTGTATCACCTAAAGGAGAATTTCAATACACCGAGTGTACCACGTCATATTATTTATGTGGTATATTTGTCTAATGAAATTGTATCATTTAGACATTTTATCTATGTCAGCTTGATCACTTTTATTTTTCTCTTTCCTAATAAGTATTTGCATTAATTATTGAGTTAAAAACACTTATTATTCTACCCAATTTCTTTATTTTAATGACTTAACTTTAAATTATTATTTTTATTCCTAAAATACAATAATCAAATTTCTCTTAATGTCCCTTGTTGTTCCATCGGCTGAGGGAAAAAAAAATAAATTTGGTAGAATAATAAGTGTTATTGACTCAATAATTAATGTAAATACCTATTAGGAAAGAGAAAAATAGAAGTGAAAATCTAACGTAGACAAAATGTCTAAATGGTACAATTTCATTAAATGAGTGTACTACATTAGTAATATAATGTGGTACACCCGGTGTACCGAATAATTCCTCGAATCTGTATTATGTGTTTAAATTTACAACTCAAAGCATTAATGAATGAGCATTCTATGTATTTTGCAGCATCCGTTTCTGTCTCTCTTCTTTCGCAAGCTTCGCCTATTATGAAATTTAATGGGCTCAATTTCTCTGAATGGAGTGAACAAGTCCAGTTTCACGTGAATGCCCAGAGATCTTGACCTTGATTTGGCACTCCTGACTGATAAGGAAGCTGCTCTTACTAAAGATAGCAGTGACGCCCAGAGATCTTTCCATAAGGTTTGGGAAAAATCAAACAGACTGAGCTTAATGGCTCTTCTTGTTTCTTTATAGAGAGAATGAGATGATCAAGAAAGTGATCAGTTGGAATAATACATTGACAGAAATTAACTAAAGAAAGATAACGAAAAACATATAGTGAACTTAATGCAACGACTAATTACAATACAAAACCAAATATTTTATTTTATTTATACAATACAATACAACACAAATACGGCCTACAATATGCATCCTTAACAGCTTAACCAACTTCAACGTCGACGTTCATTCTTTGAAACTTGAAATTTTTCCCAAGAAAGATCTGCCCTTGATCTGTAGCACTCACTTTCCGGGATTGATGGCATACCAAGTTTGAACGACTGTTAATAAAAGAGCTGTTGGAGCAAGGAAAAAGCCCAAAGTAGGCCAGGGGTTTCTGAGATAAGCAGCATAAATCTGAGCCATCTTGATCTTGCACTTTTTCGCATAATGCTCTTCTATTTTAGTGTGGATCCTCTCAAAATGATCTTCATTAGACTTGGGCAAGTAAGTTAAACCTAGCGTATTGAATAATTTGGCTACTTCTGCGTCGCTACCAAGAGCATTCCGGAGTATGCGTGCCGTCCTTAGGTCTTTCACATCTTGTTCGGTGTCAACGAGCAAATCGAGAAAGTTTAAGTAAGAAGTGACCGAATAACATCCGATCTCTTTATCGTCTAGGCATAATTCGTAGGCGACCAGGTTCAACAACTTACGCACTGTTGAGTCATTGACATTCAAAGCAGGAAGTTTAAGGTGACCAAAAATACCAAGGCAATGAGTAGCGAAAGATACAGATTTCAAGCTACGGGAATTGCTAAGCTTCATTGTAATTCCAGATGATTTGAGTTCTTGGACACTACGAAGAGACCGTTGCTCAATGCAGTCACGCTTTTCCAGTTTGTACGCAATACAAGGACATTTTTCACTAAAACAATTAGCCAAACTCAAGAGACAATTCTTTGGTTGGTAGAGGAATTTTCTGGCATCGCTTTCGTCTTCAACATTCTTGATACTACCAAATATTGATACCTTCCGAAGAAGGTCAAGAAGGTGAACCGGCTCTGTTGTGTCGAGTATTTCAATGATCCTTTGTTGATTCCATCGTCTGCGGTAATAATTGAATGCATTATTCGGACCACAAATGCTGTTCTCATGGACAAATTGGATAATGCTAACCTTGTACGAGGTCGTGTCCATATGCATCACGGCCATCAACAGTGTAAGTACTTGAAAGGGGATTTGGTTTTCAAACAAAAACAAATCCTGTTGGATAAATGCTGCTTGAGTGGTATTGATATTAAAATCTTCTAACTCACCCAAAACATAACTGTGTATAAACTGTAGTACTGCACACCCATCCAAGAACAACAACCTGGCCAGGGAATCGTCACTGTAACCATCAGGGAGCGTCTTTAGATACTGGATTTTGGACTTGATTTCTTGGAGAAATAGATCCGGTTTTCCTCCGCCACGTTCGATGAATCTATTTGCCAATTTAAGCTTGAGTTCCTTTTTATATAGTCTGGAACTAACAGCATGAATTAGGCCGACTGAAATCTCCCTTGGGATAAAATGCTTTTTGATTTTATTATTTTGCAGCAAGTAAGGCTTAACCCTTTGTATCTTTGGCCGTGACGACCGATCTTCTTCTTCTCGAGCTTTTACGTTGTCATTTATTTTCTTCAGTTCTTCTAGCAGCTCCGTATCTCCGGTCACCCCAAGAAAGTCTTCAGTTCTTCTAGCAGCTTGACTGTCTGATGTTTTTTCAGATTGGATCTCTGATGTTTTCCTAGTCCCCTTATTCATATCCGGACATTCGCCGTGCATCTTCCTTTCTGTATCTGGACAAACTAAATATGCAATATATATATATATATATATATATATATATATATATATATACACACGTAAATATGTGTTGTTCAACTTAATGTAAGACTGAGGACATATATTTCGACGCAATATTTTCCGTCCTCGTTTTCATTTTCTTATAAAATAGTATTCTATTCTATGCTTTTGAACGTTAGATTATATAAAAATCAATTGTATTAGGTCTAAACTTTTTGTTTTTTTTAATACATCATAAACTTTTAACTTTAATAAATTGCATTAACTTTAAAATTAATAGCAATTGAGGTCCAATAGCTATAAGCATTATCAAATTAGTAGTTTAAGATACCAAATTCACACATAAAAGACAAAACTCACCATTTTTCAAATCAGATCATGTGAAATCTTCAATTTGATGACACTTGAAAACTAACATTGGATTTTAACTGCTATTGATTTGAAAGTTTAGGGCACATTTTACTAAAATTATGGTTTGATGTGTATTTTGCAAAAAAAAAAAAAACAAAAAACAAAAAATTTGAAGTGTAACAATGCAATTTACTTCAAAAATTATAAGAATTGTTTGGAAAAAGAAATAGGAGAAAAGAAATACCTCTGAAAGAGTTCAAATCTTGGTCAGTTGATCGAACTGGAGTTTAAATGCAACCGCGACACTGAAACATGCAAGGATAGATAAATTATTAACTGGAGAAAACTAGTAAATAAGAGATAAAAATGAAGTGAAATTATTATTGATTTCCAGAGTGTCCTTTTCTATCATTATGAGGCTACAAAATTATCTAAGTCACGGAATAAATTTCCCTAATACAAAAGTATTATCACATGCACGCTAGAAAGAAATTAAACTTGCTGACCAAACAAATTAAGATCATGACCAGTAGCGGAGTGAGAAAATTTCTTGGGGAGGGGGGCAGAAATTAAACAAAAAAAGTTTTTCCTAAAACAACAATACAACAGTTTTAATCGAGTTTAATTCACTTTCTGCAGCTTGTGGTTCAAAAAATTACTCATGTACACAACATGTTGGTTTGACTTTTAGTTTATTCGGTATTTAAATAAAAATAAGAGTATATCACTATTCAAAAATTAAAATATGTGAGCTTTTTCTAAAACCTTTGATATAAATATTACAAATTGAAATTTTAGGAGGGCCAAAATAAAAATAAATCGTAAAAAAAATTACTGCTGGCGTAATAATATAAAGGAGCCACTTGGGCCAGTGGGAAGCATAGCATGGCTTTGCCATTGATAATGACATGTTCAGTATGTTATGTTCATTTGTACTATAATGTATAATAGTATTTCAAATGTTAAATTGACTTTTTGTCATGATCATTAAGTTTAAAAGTTACAAAACAAAAATTTAATTTTAAAATATTTTAAAATGCATGTGATGCAATTATTAAATGGAAAAGTAAATATATCAACCAATAGGAATCCAATGACAAATTTGCTATTGGTATATGCTAGTTTGCTACCAACTATAGCATGTATAACAGATTTGCTAAAAAATAGTATTGTATTAGAGAGTAAATTTCTCACTCAAATATTAAGATTTAGCATTTCATTGTAGATGTACTTCATCTTATCATCCACAGCACGCGAGTGAATTGAGTGTTTTAAAATGATTAAAGTTGTAAGTTTAGGTCAGGCAAATGGGCTGGCCTGATCATTGTTGGCTTTGTCTCGACTCAGGCCGGCCCACTTAAATTTTTGAGCCGATCCAGGTCCATAGTCTAGGCCCAAATAATCATTTTAGGTCGTCCCAGTTTGGCCCGACCTAACCCAAAGTGATTTATTTGTAAAGTTCTCTCCTTAAAGTTCGGGCCAACTTAGGCATGCCCTGGCCCATTACGCATATTAGGGCCGTGCTAGGCCCAAATTCTACCTTTAGGGCTAGATCATCCGGGACATGTTAAAAATTGGGAGAAAGAGGAAAATAGGCCAAGACTTGAGATAAATTAAAATTAATAGGCCAATAGTTTACATAAATTAATAAATAGGCCAAATTACTATTTTTGTTCATAACTTGTCTGGTTATGAACCATAATTTGACAAGTTGTTGTCCATAATTCACGATTTTTGTCCATAACTTGTCTGGCTATGAACCATAACTTGACATATTTGTCCATAACTTATCTGGTTATGAACCATAACTTGACAAATTATGGCATATTAATTTCTATAACTAAAAATTGGTCTATATACTTTCTTAAACTTTTTATATTGTCCTATTTTCTACAATTTCCGTTAAAAATAGGAGCTGACCCAACCTGGCTCAAAGTTTCTATTTAGATAACGGAGCAAGAGGCTCGAACTTTTGGCTCTAAAACATAGTGACGGTTAGGAATCCAAGTATCATTGGTGGAAAACGTGATTCAGAAAATGCCAAATCAAACATCACTGGGGAGAAACAGATGGAATAACAACGAGGAAAGAAAGTAACGAGGTTCTTGATGCTCAAAACCTTGACCTGAACCATTCCTTTACAGAAAGCGATGAGGCCGATGAAGGAGTTATGTGCGTGCGTACTAAGGAAGGGAAACTCAATTTGCTGGAAAAGAAAGAACCCTCATAAGTTCAATTGAAGTAATGGGTCCGGAAAACTTAAAGAACCCTCATAGATTCTATTAAGGGAGAAAGAATGAAATAGGCCAAGACTTAAGATGAATTAAAATTAATAGGCAAATAATTTACATAAGTTAATAAATAGGCCAAATTATTATTTTCGTCCATAACTTGTCTGGTTATGAACCATAACTTGATAAGTTATTGTCCATAATTGTCCATAACTTGTCTGGCTATGAACCATAACTTGATAAGTTTGTCCATAACTTATCTAGTTATGAACTATAACTTGACAAGTTATGGCCTATTAATTTTTATAACTAAAAATTGGCCTATATATTTTCTTAAGTTTTTCATATTGGTATATTTTCTACTATTTCCCTTCTATTAATTAGATAACAGGCCAGGAGGCTTGAACTGTTGGCTCTAAAACATAGTGACGGTTAGGAATCAAAACTTTTTTTTTTTTTTTTTTGGTTGTTGTTGAAGGTTAGGAATCAAAACATTTTTTTTTTTTTTAGTAAAACAAAGAAGAAGCCAAATCAAAGTATCATTGGGGGAAAACGTGATTCAGAAAACGCTAAATCAAACATCACTTGGGGAAACAGATGGAATCACAACGAGGAAAGAAAGTAATGGGGTTCTTGATGTTCAAAACCTTGACCTCAACCATCCTTTTACAGAAGGCGATGAGGCCGATGGAGGAATTATGGGCGTACTAAGGGAGGGAAACACAATTTGCTGGAAAAGAAAGAACCCTCATAGGTTCAATTGAAGTAATGGGTCCGGATAACTTAAAGAAAAAAAAAAAAAGAGTACATCAAGAGGAAATGTAAAAACATTTCTCGTTCGAGCTTTTGGACTCTGTTGGACCTGCGAACAAAATCTCACATTGGCAACAAGTGGGAGCTATGGTGGATTTATAAAGGAGTATGCTATTCCACTCACTAGATTAATCTTTTGAGTTGGAACCCTAATCCCTTATGGTGGAGCCTATAGTTCTAATAATTAGTATTAGAGTCGGAACACAAATGTTGCCAAGTGTACGCACGGTGATGAATCATTGATGTGTCGAATGAAGATGTGGGCTCTTGGTAATATCGCGATGGTGAAATTTTTTTGGGAAAGCTCGAGGTAGACCTTCCCTCCATGGTAATGCGTAGCCATAGACGCAGTGGAGACCTTCAAATGCGATAGAGAGCACATAGTGGTGGGATCTCCATGTAATGCAATAGAAATGTGATGGAGCATCCAATGGATGGAATGAATTATCGTTCAAAGAGGGGCTTTGATACTTTGTTTGAAGGAAGGATTGTTGGAGGCGTGAACAAAGTCCCATATTGGTAACAGATGTTTATAAAGGAGTGAGCTACTACAATCACTAAATTAATTTTTTGAGTTGAAATTATTAGAGATGGAGCCCATGGTTCTAGAAGACTCTTATTTAACTCGGTTGTAGATGCTGGAAAAGCTTTGTGCTTTATAAGTTAAATAAGAAATTTTATCTTTGGCACCTTTTTAAAAAAAAAAAAGAAATTTCTTATCCCTTAAAAGCTATGTTTTTTTTAATTGGATGCCGGTTTCAGTGGGTGAATGGTGACCAAAGAGATGATGCTGTATAACAATTAGAAGGGCTGATTCATGTCAAGAATAAGAGAGATCAAGAAACGAGAGATGTTTTGTTATTGTTATTGTTGTTGTTGTTGTTTTTTTTTTTTTTTTTTTTTTTTTTTTTTTTTTTTTTTTTCTTTTTTATTGAGTTGTTCGGACCGGATCAATCTGAATGCAACGGCTAGAGAATAGATGAATTATAAGTGAACACTAATTAAACACGATCGAAGAAGAAGGAAAAAAAGAAGACCAGAAGGAAGTGAAAATTTAGATTAATTTTTAAAACTTTCACAACTAAATTCATAAATAAATAAATAAATAAAAGTAAAAATGGTCCTAGATCCATTACTTTTTGCCTATATGAGCCAAAATATTCTGACCCCTACACAGCGTTAAACTAGCTAGTTTGTTCTTTTATTTCTTTTATTTGAAAACATCTTTACTTTGATATATAGGCCCCGTTCATTTCGCTAATTCGAGTTTAGAATTTGAGTTTTGCTATAGTAAAAAGCTCTCACAAATAATCACATCTAACTTTTTTATTACAGTAAAAAGCTCTCACATAAAATCACATCTCAACTCGAATTAAAAACTCGAATCAGTGAATTAAACGGACCCATAGTGTATTTAACATAGTTTTACAGTCCGAAAACTGATTACCGAGTGAATTGCAAACCATATATATTGAAAGATGTTTATATCTTTTTCTGGAAAGAATTTCACAAACTAATTTCTTTCTACTTCCAGTTAATTACAAAGAGAGTTGTGTAAAATACCTCACAAAAAGTTCAATCTTTGAGTTGATATATATCCGACGGAATATTGTAGATGAATCTACTCAGCTTTGAAGGAGCAGATCGGCAGGTTGTGAAATGTAGTGGTGGGTGAATGCCCACGTCGGTGGCATCCAAAGTGTTGTTGATAGATCACTTATATAGATCAATTATTACGCACGTGAGAGAATTCTATGATCGGGATGAAATAAATTCCCATACCTAATCTATCAATACGCGGGACACAGATTCAAAATTGTTACATTTATATTAGATGCATGTCGCTGTAATTGTGACACATTTTTTTAATCTAATTCGATATTATTTTTGACGATTTCAATTAACTGTCTCCCATTATAAGCATACTATTTTTTTTTTCATACTCAATCACATGATTCTATTAATGTTGGATAGGAGGAGCAAACAAAATGTCACAGTGCCCTTTATTAATTATTGCCATTAGACTAGTCTTGCTCTCATTCAGGTCCACCCTAAAATAAAGTCATTTGGCCACCACTCATTTGTGTGTGTGTGTGATTCTATATGTCGCGTCATGCTGAGAGAGAGTCTTGATGTGATTAAGTCTATCTAAATTGTAATACTATTTACTTAGTGAATTGTTCATACGTCTAGACGTGACTACACAAATATAAAAGGATACCGAACCGCGATACTAACTTCCCGTGTCTTTTTACTATTTCAAGTTTCTTACATATTTACTTAATCAATTTGATAACGAAACTTGATAAAAATAAATAAATAAATTTTGGTACTAACGTCTTCATATTGAAGACGATTTATACAGTTTACTTTACATTTATATTAGATGCATGTCGCTGAAATTGTGATACATTTTTTAATCTAATTCGATATTATTTTTGACGACTTCAGTTAACTGTACTATTTTTTCATACTCAATCACATGATTCTATTAATGTTAGGTAGAAGGAGCAAACAAATTAAAATGTCACAGTGCCCTTTATTAATTATTGCCAGAGACTAGTCTTGCTTTCAATCAGGTCCACCATAAAATAAAGTCTTTTGGCCCCCACTCATTTGTGTGCGTGTGTGTTTGTGATTCTATATTATGACGTAATGCCATGAACGTACAAACATAATATCATGACGTAAAACAAGCTAGTTGCAACATTTTACTTCCATTATATATAATTATCTTCTGTTGGGATTTAAAATTTCGGATTTGATTGGTTTTCATTGTTAACATTATTTTTGCATGTTTTGGTGATTGATCTAATTGAAGATTGAATGACAGCTGTTAGCATTATTTTGAGAAAGTTCAGTTTATTTATAAACTGTTTAGAATCAATTAAATTAATTTGATTTGATTAAAGTCAACTTTTGAGTATCTTTGATAATGGTAGATTTGCAAAGGAGATCATTCTGAGGTATTCGGATCATCCATGTTTCTTCTATCTTATATAAAAAGATTTCAAAAATCAAGAAAGTTGACTTTCTGATCAAGTTTTATAGCTCTGTTGCAGTATTTGTTGCAACATAATCTATAATAAAATGTGTACAGCTGATTACTTTAATGAATTTGACAACTGGGTATTGTTTGTCTTTTTAACTAAAGTCTCACGTTATTCTTTAAATGCCTTTAGAGCCTCAGAATTTCAAAGAGTCGGATTATTTGTGAGCACTTGTTTTTCATATTTCTTCTAGAGAAGGAATTTAGGTTTTTTGTAGAAAACTAAGTTTGGAAGGGATTTCAACTTTGTAAGTTGAGGGAATCTCACTGAACAAGTTCATTAAATAGTTACAAGTTATAGGCGTCATACTTAAAGAATGAGTCTTAGGGTGATTAAGTTCATTTGAATTGAAGCACTGTTTACTTAGTAAATTGTTCGACGTCTAAGCATGACCACGCAAATGTAGTTGGATATCGAACCACGATACTAACTTTTTGTGTCCTTTTACTATTTCAAATTTCTTACATATTTGCTTAATCAATTTCAAAACAAAACTTAGTCAAAAGAATAGACCGGTACTAACATCTTCATATTAAAGCTGATTTATACAGTTTACTTTACCCGTCTGTCTTTATTTCTTTTTGTCCGTTTTTTCTTTTTTCTTTCTGTTTCATCCATTTGTATAACCGTTAAATGAGTCATTTTTCACTAGTTTTATTCTCACGCATGAATTGGGATAATGCCGGCCTCAAAGTACGACGACTTTTCCGCTTCCTTGTGGGCCACGTTCAGCCATCAACACAGTGCAAGGACTTTATAGGGGATTTGATCTTCAAACTAAAACAAATCTTGTGGATAAAGGTTGCTTGAGTGCTATTGATCTTAAACATTTCTAACTCACCAAGACCACAACTGCATAAATAAAAACTGTAGTATTGCATGCACATCCATCCAAATAACAACAACCTGGCTAGGGAATCATCATTATAACACTCCCGATTAATCACCCCCTCACTAAATCACTTCCTTGTAATGTCCTGGATGTTGTTGATCTTGATTCCATCGATTAAACAGTCGGATGTCATTAAAATATGTTACTGATGAATTCCTTCGCCAATTTAACCTTGTGTTGCGTTTTCAACTTGTTACGATTTTTATGAGTGTAAGCATACGCTATCGTAGTCATGTTATAAAAATTTCTCAGTTCAGAGTATTATTCCACGATGATTGATCGTTACTAATTACCAGAATTGAGTTAACGCTAAATTTTATTTAAATAAAATGAAATTGGAGATTTGGTGATTTAAATTAGAATCGAAGAAACTAAAGAAGGACAGAATGTTAATATTAAATAAGGATAAATTCAATAATAAGTCCGATTTCACTAGGATCGATCAAGTTCAAATTCCAAATTTCCAATCAATTTATATCTATTATATATTGATAGTGGATGTAACGCCCCCTTACGGAACATCACAGTTACCACCTCATAACATCCGTTTTCACAATAAATAAGAGTTCGGAGAGTAAAATTAACAAGTGACAAAATTAGCTCTTTTTTTTTTTCTTTTTGCTAAATGAATATTTCATTCAAAAGAACACCCGCAAAACAGGAACAGGGGACAAAGGCACAAAACAAAGACAAAATCAGGGGGCACCGAAAACAAAGGGCACCCAACAAAGACATTCTGGTGCAACAACACCAAAGCTGAAAACATCTGCTTTATAGGCCAAGTAGCCCCATAATGCATATTCTGGTGCCACCTACCTTGTCCACCAATATATACATTAACTTTGTTACTTCTTATCAAAAGAAGCAAGTTAAAATACTACTTAACATCATCAGCACGAAGTACTTGGGCGTATGTTAACTGTAATCCAATGCAAGTCCAAAGAGTGACAAAAAAGTAGAAAATAACACCACTGTTTAGTAAATAACATCCTTATAATATTTGCTTGTATTCTCAAAAGAAGTGTTTTTATAAAAACTATTTTACCATTTCTATAATTCTCTTGCTATTGATTTTTATTATCGTCAGAAGTACTTAGATCAGAGAATCATAGAGTAATCAAATGAGTGCATAGATTTATTATCATATATAACTTAATAAGAGCAAACTTGTTCTAAAAGTAGTTTTCTTCATGAAAGGAAGTTTGCTATTGACACTTGTAGTAAAAAAGTGACGTTTCAATGTAAGGAAAAAAAAAAAATCAACTATGTTACTAGACTTGATTATCATGAAAGGAAGTTTGCTATTGACACTTGTAGAAAAAGGGGACGTTTCATATGAATAGAGGTGTCAAATGGGCCGAGCCGTCCAGCCGAATGCGGTACTGTTATGGGCCATGTCTGCCCGGCACGTTTGATGGACTAGGGCTGGGCCGCGACTTCTCAGCCCGCGGCCCAAGCCCAGCCCTAACCCGTGAAGATCCGCGGCCTAGCCCTAGCCCAATTCGGCCCAAGCCCGAATTCAGCCCTTGTTCAGGCCGGCTCAGGCCCGCGAAACGGCCACCAAAAAGCCCTCCAGCCTGTGAGGATTGTGACCGTTGGGCCCTTCACGGGCCCAACAGTCGGCCCATGACAGCCTTGACCCTAAAATTCCCTATAAATACCCCTTAATCCCACCATAAATCTCACACAACAATTCACTCTCAACTTCTCATCTCATTCTCATTCTATCTCTCATGTTGTCTCTTTGATTTTGATTCTAAGCTTTTCTCTCGCGATCACTCATTTTCTTGCTCTTTCATTTACAAAGTTTAAGTTCAATCAATTTCCAGAAAATGACCGCATCAAACTTCCCTGATTTCTTTGCTCTCCCTTAGTTTGGTGATGAGCCATTTTTCGAGGATGAAATGATGGGACTGAACCGGAAAATGCTCCGGTTGATAATGCTTCAGTGTACAACGAGAAAGTTGGAGAACGCAGTAGGGGAAAAAGACCGTGAGCTTCTCCTACATGGCAGCATTTCACAAAGGAGCTCCGATCAAATCCAAAAACAAGTGAAATGAAAATTCGTGCGGTTGTAAAAAGCATTTTTCTAATAAAAAGGGTAGGGCTATTGATCATCTAGATAGACATTGAAAAACATGTCTACCATTGCACCAAGGTGAGAGTGTGGACTCCTGCCAAAAAACACTATCACTCACATCAGAAGGGTTGTAAAATTTTACATACTGCACATTTAGCTTTACATCAACTATGTAATATTTCAGAAACATTTTCTTATTATAGGGATACTGAACTTTTTGAAAACATAGTTAAGCTAATGGAAATTAAATTTAAAAGTTATTGGTCAGGTTGTCCTATGTTATATGCATTAGCAACCATTTTAGATCCTAGATGCGTAGTAGATAGGACTAAATCTATGATGACTGCTACAGTAGAAAATTTAGGTATTGATATGCTACTAACTATTACTGACGCTAGGAGAATGTTAGAAAAGTTATTTCGTATGTATGAAGCAAAATACATCACATGTCAAAAAGAACAGGGAACTTCAACGTCAACTAGCAGTTCGGGGCCTAAAGGCTCGTCGTGGAGTTTCTTGAAGAAGAAAGAGAAAATGACAGGATCGTCATCAACACAAGCGTCTACCGAACTGGTAAAATATTTTGAAGCAAATTTTGTAATTGATAACGAAAAATTGGACATCTTATAGTGGTGGAAGAACAAGA